ACAGTATATAGCTGCCACATTTTATTACAATCCTACAGTACGCTTCAGGAACACTTTTTATACAGCCTATTGGCAACACATAAGGAAGCATCAGAATTAATGTTAATGTACATACTGTGTGTTAAACTGATAATGCAAGCTAAGATTCTCAAATAAAATAAAGCTTGACAAATTGTAAATCATTGTATTTCAGCATAGCTGCAATCAAATAAAGGGGAAACTACTTGGCCATATTTTCAATTCACAGCATGTAGTTTTTTTTAATGTTTGCCTAAATGTATCAGAAACTTGTATTGCTGTATGCTTTATTGCTGTTCCTTTTGAAAAATGCCCCCTTAAATTTACTGCATATGTATTTTTTTTTATTTGGACACACTCATAAATTGCTAATAAAACCAAATCATCATTAACTGACTTGCCCTGGCTAGCACATGGGAACGTTTGTATTTCAGGATGAAGAAACTTGCATGGTGTGACATTTTTGTTTGAAATAATTCACATCCTATTCCAAGCACCTCTGAAAAATTAACGCAACGTCTCGTTCGTCTCTGAGTTGAAACGATGCCTGGGCTTTTGATCTGTGTGAAGAAACATGTATTTGTTTTTGTTTGCAATCCGTTTATTTATTTATTACTCCAATCATTGTTGATGCGTCCCCAATTTCTGCTTTGGTGCCTTAATTTGAGGGTTGGTGGTGTTGAAACAAGTTAAAGTACTATAGTTTAAGAGAAACGAAAAGTACCGAATACATTTCAAATACAAGTCTCAGTTTTTGGAGTTGTTGTTCTATCAGCTTGATGCACTGCTCTCTGGTGTGAACAGCTCTTCTCCAGCTTTGTCTATCTCTATTCATTTTCTGTCCATTTCAAAAGTCAATCCTGGAGACCACAGCCATGCACTTTATTTGTGCACAATGTTTTTCCTTTTTATTTTGCAAGAGCCCCCTCTTCCCTGGCTAAGTACGTCACACTGCATCAAGGTTTGCCTTCTGGTGTTTCACTGAAAACGCTTGACTCCACCTGCTGCAGTCAGATAAATGGAGAGGGTTCATTGTGTCTGTGTTGGGGTGCATCACGTCAACATCAGACTTCTTGAAGCATGCTGCAGTGACTGATTTTCTCTGCAGAGCAAAGCGGGAATGCAGAAGTTTCGTAGCTATTCTGACTGCAGTGCATGACACCAATGGACTAAGACGAGCTTCATTTTTTCTGAGGCAGACTTAAGAACAATATGAACTCTGCTTTTTGTATCCAATGAGTCATTCCATGAATATTTCACCATATAATTGAATTTGTGTAAAAAGTAGCAACATATATTATTTTTTAACTTTATAATCACTCACCAGTAATGGGATCTAAAAGGATTTTATCTCTGCTGGTGGTTTGATTTGGGAGAAAAGGGGGATGAAGAATTTTTGTAGCCCCTTTGGTTTATTTCTTCGTCATGTCTTAAGTACTGATTGATTGGTGGCTTTTCTTATTAATCCTAACAAAAAATTACCTAAAACAACTAAAAACAGATGGGAGGAAGTAGTTACTCTCTGTGAGTAGCTATGCCACAGTCCAAACTGGGTAACACAAACTTAACTTTGCAACAACAGGTGTTTTTTTTTGTCAGTGTGAATGCAGGTTTTGTGTATTTGTATGTGTGCACTTGCTAATATCGAATCCAGTAGCTCCACGCCACCTTCTGCGTGCCATCTTCAAGCATAGATGGCACGTCTGAGCACATTGGCGTTGAGCTCATTCTTCCACTCCACCATTTCCTCAGCGAGGGCATCCTGGCTTGGCTGTCATTGAGCCCGTGTGTCGGTCCTCGTTTCTGTGTGTCATCCCTGTCCTCTTGCAGCCACGTGGGTTCTCACTTCTGCTCTGTGCTTCCTCCTCTCCTCAAGGAATGGGGAAAAAGGATGATCCAAAACTAATGCAAGAGTGGTTCAAGCTGGTGCAGGAGAAGAATGCTCTGGTCCGCTATGAGTCAGAACTCATGATATTGTAAGTACTGCACCTGATCACAACAAGGATCTATATCTTTGTTAGCTAGTTACCGTAATTTCCGGACTATAAGCCACTACTTTTTTTCACACACTTTGAACATGTCTTATGTGATGCTGCGGCTAATTTATGGATTTTTTTTTAACCAGTCATGTTACAGGCTTTGTTCAGAAAACCATTTACTGTACGTATTTGTGTATATTACCAGTACGTATTTAATTAAAAGTTTAAAAATATTTCTGTGTAAATATCTCGTCTTACAACGTGGTTACCCGCAGCTTATATACAAGTGAAGTCTATATATTAGGCCTGTTGCGATAAACAATAAATCAATTAATCACATGATGAATAAAAATTCTAGACCTCATTTTCATTTATCGGCTTTATCGTTTCTTCATGTCTCTCTTTCTACTGAAGACACTGGATGACAAAAAGCTCAACTCCGGTGCTCTTCACTGACCCCTCCCTTTCTCTTTATAATCAATTTTAACCGTCCAAAATTGTGTTTTTGAATCGTTAAAAGCAGCTAAGCTGAGAAGCTAAGCTACGAGCTAAGCTAACAGGCCGACCTCGGGGAAAAAAACTCTGTCTTGTCAAAGCGCCAAAATTCACGGATGAAACCCGTGCCTTTGTGTAAAAGTTTTTCTCTGCAGAAGGAAGCTGAGAACTTGATGAATTATTTTTTTTATTAAAAGCTTTGAGTGAAAAATGCTATACTAAAGAGCTCAAACCACACTTAGCATCTGCCATTTTGAGACCCGAAGAGAGACAGCCCATGTCACATCAAGGGGCCTCCCTTCCATTTTTCTTAGAGACACGCTGCTTGCTCCCTCACTATCCATCCTTCAGTTCAAACAGCCTTATACTGCCATCCGGTGGTTGAAAAAAATGTGCTATGCTCAAAATAAATTAACATTTCTTCTTAAGTTTGACAATAATTATTAATTATTGTCAAATTTCAAACAATATTATCGTTTATCGCAATAATTTCTGAGACAATTAATCACCCAGCAAAATTTATTGTTGTGACAGGCCTACTATATATGTACAATAAAAAATATATAATTAATTTAGTGGGCGTGGCTTATATTCTTTTGAGCGCAATAGTCTGGAAATTACGGTAGTCAGAGATTCCTAAAAGCTTTGTCACTGGGTTGTATTTGTTTTCTACAAACCAGTCACCCAGATGAAAACGTCATAATTTGTCAAATCTTACATAATAAAATGTCACGTGTTTAGTGAATGTTTTTATTACCTTTATTTCCAGTTTTTTCTTTCATTAGTAGGCCTTTAGTTCTCTTGTTGAACCTGCCAAACAGTGACTTTACATATTTCTGTAATATTTCTCCGAGTGGAGTCTTGTTAGGATCTTCATTACCTTGGATTTGATGTGATATTAAAAAAAGATGTTTGTACAAGTGATTAAAAACACGCGTTGATATTTAAGTCAATTAATTCAGTTTAATTCTTGGAATAAATTAAGTTTTTCAGAAAACCTTCAGGTGTCAGAAGATCTTTTTTTAAACAAATTTAAGCTGTTAAGTGTTTGTCGCTTTGGGGCAGTGATGTATTAAAGCGTCATCCTTTAAAAGGGTTTGTGTCAGATAAAAGACTCAGGATAAGAACGTCCTGCAATGGTAGTTTAAGAAATTTCCCCATCATCCAATTAAAACTTTTTATATTTTCAGCCTTTGCAATGAGATGACTCTCTAAAATCTAAAGGTGATTAAATAGTCAGGATTTATTGTCTTCTTATTTTATACGATTATTGCGTTCTTAGTATCGATCCTCCCTTATGAGGTCGTGATCACGTTTTAGTATAATATAAAATGCAATCACACTTTCAATCGATTCAGAGAAACAATTTTATTTAATTCTGAAACCTCAATAAATGATCCTGATTTCTCATTAACTGCTTTGAAATCGCTTTGATTACCAATATTCTTTTTTTTTTTTTAAAGAACTAATATTTGTTTATTAAGTTTAGCAATAAATGAAAGAATATACTTTGATAAGCATTGATGTAAAAGCTGTTGTTGAGCAGTGGAACAGACTTTGTGTGTTCTCTTTCTCTAAAGTGCCAGAGAGCTGGAGCTGGAGGATCGGCAGAGTCGACTGCAGCAGGAGCTCAGGGAGCGAATGGCAGTGGAAGGTGAATATAGAAATGTTTCTCTAAAACAGGTTTCACTTGTCTGTGTTTGTAGCATTAGCTAAAATATCTCTTAATCACTCAAATGATTTTAATGAAACTCTCAGAAAGTAATCTTTCAATGTACCTCTACAAACATTTTACTTTTGAAGTCAACCTAATTCAAGATGGTCACCACAGCCAACTAACCTTAGGAAACACAAAAATGGCTTTTATAGATATTGAGAGAAATTTAGTGTTATTTACAAGATTTCATCTAAACGGCTACAACTCTGTCATTTCTCAACATGAAATGATTTTAGTCTAAAATAATGGCTGGAAAAGTAGTGGCTGATGTGCATTCCTTCAAGTTCTAGGACTGCTATACAATGCTGTCAAGCTCTAGGACAGAGCTAGGACTGTAATTATAAACTAGAGAAATTGCATTTCAGCTGAGCTGCAAAAATGCAGTGTCAAGGTTTACTGCTGAAAAAGTTTGCTGCAAAACAGTTAAAATAGCTTAAAAAAATAGCTGAAAAGGAACTGAAATGTAAGAACAAGCCTAAATTAGAGGAAAAAAGCAGAAAGAACATATATTTGCTGTATTAGGTTTAAATAAGCAGCAATGAGCACAAAAATTAGAAAATAAGCTAAAAAAGCTTAAATTAGCACCAAAAAATCTGAAAAATAGCTGAAAAGTCATAAAAAACTTAAACTACCAGAAGGAACTGGAATGAGCTGAAATGAGCTACAAAAAACAAAACGTGGAATTAGTTGGAAAAGCTAAATTTAGCACAACAGCTAAAATGTAGCTAAAATAGCAGAAAAGGCTAAAACTAGCAGAAAAAAACTGAAAGGAGCAAAATAAGCTGAAATTAGCAAAACAAAGTTAATTAGGCTGAAAGTAGCAGAAATTACCACGTAAAACTTGAATTTATCTGAAAACAGCTGAACTTGGCTAAAAAATGCTAATAAAAAGTAGCTGATAAGGTAGAACAAGCTTAATTACCAGAAGCAGGAAGAACACTTTGCTGAAAGAAGCAAAAATGAGCACAAAAGTGGAAATTATCTGAAAAAGCCAAAACTGACCAAAAAAACCCAGCTGAAAGTAGCTAAAAAAAACAGAAAGAAGCTTAAATTACTAGTAGGAAGTGGAGAGAGCACATTTTTGCTGAATTAAGCAGAATTTTTTTTAAATAAGTGCAAAAAATGTGGGATTAGCTGAAAATGCTTAAATTTGCATAATTCATTCAACCTTTATTTATTCAGGTTAATCCCATTGAGTCTCAGGGACTCATTTACAAGAGACCTGAAAAATAAAAAAAACAGCTATATAGTAGCTGAAATAGTAGAAAAAGCTGAAACTTTCAGAAATAAGCAGAAAGGAGCTTAACAAGCTGACATTAGCAGCAAGATGTTAGAAGAAGCTCAAAAACGATGTAGTTAGCAGAAAGATCCTGAAAACAAAAAAGGTTCAATCATGTCATCTGGAAAGAATCTGAAAGTAGCACAAAACGGCTGGATAAACAGCTGAAAATAGCTGATTTTATTTTTATTTGCACAAGGAAGCTGAAAGAAGCTGAACTAGAACAAAATGTGAAAGATGCAGTAAAAGTTGTAAACAGATCTAAAGATATGAAGGATGTAAAATGAGCTCAATTCATTTTCTATTAGAAAAAAAAAAAACGGCAGAAAAAGCCAAATATTTCAAAAAGCTAAAGTTGCACCAATACCAAAAGTCACAGCAGGATTGTCCTGAAAGAGCTGAACATTTTGATATATGATTTGTTGAAATAGCTTCAAATCTGTGGGACGAGAAACGCACCTAAAAATGTTCGGATGAAAAATGGATCACAGTAGTGTGAATGCTCCATAAACATTAACACTATTAACTGTGTGTAAATAGTTTAATTCAAAGCATAATGTATTACGTTCTGTTCTGTTTCCATCAGACCATTTGAAATCGGAGAAGGAGCTTGCTCAGGAAAAGCAGATCCTGAATGAGATGTTGGAGGTGGTGGAGCAGCGTGATGCCCTCGTTGCCCTTCTGGAAGAACAGAGACTTAGGGAGAAGGAGGAGGACAAGGACCTGGAGGCTGTCATGCTGTCAAAAGGATTTAATCTGAACTGGGCCTAAAAGGAGTTTGTATACTGCTCATTAAGTTCTGGCAAAAAAGGGTTCGACTTCTCAAAGGCATCGTCAGCCTTGCACTCTTTTCTTTCTCTGACTTTTCTTCCAAACAGGGATGCAAGCAGTTAGTCTAAAACTGTCACACCTACAGCAGTGAATGTGTAAATATTCTTCCTACACAACACACACACACACACCGTGGCTGCCTCTGACACTGAAGCAGTCTGCAGCGTTTACATATCCTCTGCCTAAAGGCAGGCAAGTTAATCACTTTGCAGTTTTGTTCCTCTCCTTCTGTGTGGGAGGAGAGGAGAGTACAAATTCACAACCATCATCCCAGCCTTGAAGAGGGTCCTTTCAAGTAAGAGGTTGTTGGGAGAATGTGTAAAGACTTCACTCTGATTATATAAAGGGAAGACTGTGGTTCAGTCCTGCTGATGTAAAGGAAATGTAAAGAATGCTTTCTTTTTTTGAGGGGTATAGCTGTGTAGAACGAGTCATCTTCAGCAAACGAGGGTTCTTTCTTTTCTACAAAAGGACTTCTCCAAAGGTGTGTTTGTAACATCAGAGCAACGTTTTCAGGCTTTTTGGTCTGATTAAAGGATGGACACCCTCTGCTGAAGCTGCAACGAACTGACTATAGCATCATAATGAACCACATATATGCCCTGAAAGGCTTTTCTTGTTTCCATATTTTATTCCCACAGTGTTCAATGAATCAACGCTAAGAATCCATCAACTCTGGCTATGTTTTTATCCATTTGTTTTTATTTGCTTTTATCAGATGAACAGTTTTCTTCACGCAGTCACAGGAGAGTGCCCAGAATCTCATTATCGTGCTCTTGTGCATAACCCTTATGCACCATTGTGAGTCAGTCAATAAAGATGGCTGCAGGCACGTACAGTAGAAGGACCTGACATTTCTTTAAGCATTTCAAAGGACTTTATAACACTGGGCCTCTGTGTGAGATGTATATCACGTTAAGTTAAAGTTTACAAACACGTGTTCATTTTAAGGTTTTGTTGGCTCCTGCGACAGAAGACCAGATCAATACAGCATCTGAACGAGAGATCGAGGAAAGAACAGTATTAACAGCGTGACCTCATTACATCACAGTTCGTAAAGGGAGATCAGTGTAGTTCATTTCACTCACTTTGTGCCACAGGATGTTCTCTATTGGTGGGTATGCTGGGATATTTACACCGTAACGTGCACACTACACAACACTTGCACATCATTGTATAGCAGTGGTAATGTATCTGAACATGATGCCTTCAAAGGTTAGTTCTCCACATTCAAGCGTGTTTTTTTAAACTTCAGTTTTTACGTTCATCTCACTGGAACTAAAATTTTTACCTTTTTTTTTTTTCTTCTGCTGAACACTTTTGTAAAACATGCCACCCCAAACGTGTAAATTATTTAAAATGGGGGATTAAAGGAATGCAAAATGTTTGATCTGAATACGTCAAACATTATTGGTTATCCAGTGGGTAATTCAATTTGAAAGGTTTTTTTTTTTTGGCACCTGTATAAAACCAAGAGGCTATATTTATGAGTTGTGGATAAAAAGTTACATTATTTTAAAGGCTGTTGTTTTAGATGGTGTGTGACAAGTTTGACTTGATTGTACTGATATTTATTAACGTGTGCAAATTGTATTATATGTAAAAAAATGAATCTTAATTTTTAAACTTTTCTGTTGACACATTGACTTGTAAAATGCTTCATGTAGCTAAAATGCTTAGGGGTGTTGGATGTTTGCTGAAAATGGCAATAAAACATTGCGGTCGTTCTTTTGCATATTTGTGCACTGATATCTATTTTTACACTATTTTTATTTAGAAATTATGACCAAATTTTGCCAAGTTATGAGCTGATGATGACTATCTTCATAGTTTTCTGTTTTTATTATAAACTCAAGACTACAGGAAACATTGTGTTGTAACAAATAAATTAGTTTTAAATTAATGTGCATGTATGGATAAATGAGTGAATGCTGTTTGGCTACCTCAGATTTTATTTTAAAGTAGTTGTATGCCATGTCCTGATGCATACTCAACAATCCAGGTAGATAAATTTACCAAGATGGACATTTCGTAACGTTTCAACAGAAGAATCCGTCCAGAGGATCTGACTTAATTCAATTCAAATTCAATTCAAACATACTTTATTAATCCCAAAGGGAAATTAATTGTTGTAGTTCATCTTGGTTTCATTAGAGTTGCTATAGATGTCGATGGCTTTGGGCAGGAAGGATGTCTTGTAGCAGCCCGTCCCACAGCAGATCCGAGGAGACTGGCCACAGGTGCCGATCCTTCCACCCAGCAGACCTCTTGGGTAGCAGGACTCACTGAATGCCAGGCAGAACTCCACCCCGAGCGATGGCCATTTCTCCCAGTAGCCTGCCAAGCCCCTCGTTGCCACGGTCTTAACTGCAGGTGCCGGGGGACGATCCCTGTCCTCCCACTGTCATGAGTCACGTTTCCTGCTACCTCCAAAATCTCGGCAGTCAGGTACGTGAGCACAGCCTCCAGGTAGACGGTAATGCATCCACGGCACCTCCTTTTTAACTCATTTGGGATTTGGGGCTGTAGTTGAGGTCTTATGTGAGCTTTTGAGATGTTAATCAGCAGCTCCCAGTTGTAGAAAACTACCTTGTTTTGGCTACGCATCATAAATGTCCAAAAGTAAAAAATGTTTCAGTAAAAATCCTTCCAGCAGCACAGCATCTGATACCAGATGAAGTAATCATTCCAAAAAAAAAGCGATTTCCTTCCAGAAAAATTGGTAAAATTATCAAAAGCAAAATCTCAGAATGAAAGTAACAGAGCTACTCCAACATGCAGCCACCTTGAACGGCACAATTCTGGAATTAACCTCGTTAGTTGCATGCCACTTACAGTTTTTACAATATGTTTGCCTTTTTTTTTTTTAATATAAATTCCACAACATTTAAAACTATTTCCAGATTTGTGTTGATCAATTGACTTTCAGAAGCTGAGAATTAAAAAAATAAATAAATACAGATGGAAATTCTGTAACCTGACATTTAGTTCCCTCCTGCCTGCTGACATAATTTCCGTATTCTTCCCAGTGGCATTTTTAAAGTTGATCATTAGGTTTTCTTTTTTAATTGTTTTTTTAGACCATATGAACTCGCACCCCCCCCCTCCCCCCCCCAAATGTTATGGAAAAGCCAACAATTTTCAGTCAGGTCATCTGGACAGTTTCTTTTTTTATATATATTTTTTTGTGCTGAAACGTTTCCCCTTCCATCCAGAAGGCTTAATTAGTCAAGGAAACAATGATTGAATGAATGATGAAGCCTTCTGGATGGAAGGTGAAACGCACTAGAGGAGGGGGCATGCCAAAGAGACCATCTTAGCACCGACATAAATGGTTTGTTCCACTTTAGAGTAAGGTGTTGGGGGAAGAATCAGTTTTGTGTTGTGCGTTTTCTTTACTGACGAAGCCTTCTGGATGGAAGGTGAAACGTTTCAGCACCAAAAAAAAAAAAGAAACTGTCCAGATGACTTGACTGAAAGTTGTTGGATTGTATACCTGGATTATTGAGCATGGACTTTGTTGGTTATGGAAAAGCCTTTTAACCTTAAAAAATTAGGCCAGTTAACAAAATAAAACAAAATGTTATTAAACCGGTGTAACCGTGTAGATGTATTTCTTTTATTTACACAGTATTCCTCATCACATTACACGAAGGTTAATTTAAATTTAGCAGTTTAATGCAAATACTTTGTAACTTTATTTTATCCGTGCTCTTATTGTGAAAAGAATATCGCTGTGGCGGTAACTTCCGATAAAGAATCGCAGCAGCAACAACTTCAGGGTCGTTGAAAAGAGTGGACGCTGAAGCTGAAGGATGGACGCGAAGAGTTTCAGAGACTGTCAGGTGAGTGGCAGGGGTGTCATTTGTAGGAAAGATGACCGCTTTGTCAAAAGTTGCAGAAAAAAGTAACCCTAGTTTGTGGTGGTTTGTATGCAAGGGACGCAAGAAGTTTAAATATGGCCGGTTGGATTCATTTTTGTTATGCTAGCTCTCTATGATAAACAAGTAAGATGGAGCAAAGAATGTATTTCTAAACTGAAGTTTCTTCATGACTTGAAAGAGAAAGTGTTTAATGGCAATATATAAAACTGCAGAATTGATGTATTACTCTGATATTTGCATTTTCGTGTGTAAAAGGCGTGGAAGGACGCAGGTCTTCCTCTGTCCACCAGCAGTAATGAGGCGTGCAAACTGTACGATGCTGTACTCACTCAGGTAGGCTACATGACACACTGCACTCACGTGGAAACAGTGATGAAACAAACACCAGTAACACAGCATTTTTAATTGGGTTTGTTTTCTAGTATGTGAAATGGCGAAATGATGAAACCTTGGGAGGCATTGAAGGATGCATTTCTGCTATGCAGACTGCTGACCCTAACTTTGGTAAATATTTATATTTAGGACGCACACAATAAAAGTATTTATTAAAATCAAATACTCAAACTAGCTTGTCTGCAAGAACAGTACAGCTAGTTAAGACTAAAAGATAAAACTAAACTGCATATTTAAATTTTGTGTATTGCCAAAATTCCTGAATTAAAAGTGGTTTCTAATCCTGCATACTTTAAACATGGATTAAAGTTCTCTGTCGCCACAACGGATTTCTAACATCTGTATAAAAAAAATAAAAAAAAAAAAGGAGGGGGAAGAAAAAGATGTTTTGTTGTGGTCTTGTTAAAACATCCAATCTAATGATGAAGCCGACCCAAATTAAAGTGACGCTGCTTTCAACCAATAAAAAAGAAGCAGAGCCACAGTTTGACCCAATCAGAGCAGGGCGGGGCGGGGCCTGCTGTCTGGGGCACGTGAGCCTGGGTGTGAGGAGCAGAGAGAAACTGCAGGTGAAAGCTCACCTGACGCCCCACCCCCACCCTAACAGAACTGCCCACCTCAATGAAGATGACCTGTAATAAATTATTAAATATCTAAGGCTAAAAGATTAATAATTTCTGCCACAGATTATAGCAGAGATATGTCTCTGTTTAGTTTTAATTTACCCCTAAACTCAAAGTTCTCCCTGAGTCAGTTTCAGGTGTTTGTAGTTCATCACAAATATCTAAAAATATGTATATTCATCATGTTGTTTTATCAATATTTTGGGGACAAGGGGCAGATATTATAAGAACTCATTCTTCTTCTGCTGCCTTTCATTTTATTTCTGTGATTGTATATCTTTTTTCTTTTCTTTAAATTGTATTATATTTGTTGTTTGGATGAAATGAATAAATAAAACATACATACATACATACATACATACATACATCAATGACATGATGTTATGGCTGTTTGGATGAGCTAAACTCGATTATATTTAGAATCCTACTGAGAGTTAACTACTCTGATGACTGTAATTCAATAAATGATCAAATGTGAAAAATAAATATTAAATGACTACATGAACAGAAATACTGTAAAATAAATAAAATAAATAAAACTTCCTTTGAATATAATCCATCTAAAAGTAAACTACAGAAATGTTCTAAACCCGTCTCTTACTTCAGAATTATGTTGGTTTTGATGGTACTTCATTAGACAAAACTACTCTGTACTTATACTAAAGTCATGTACACACTATATTGTGTACTTTTACTAAGGTCATGTACACACTACTCTTCATATACATACATATATATATATATATATATATATATATATATATAGGTGTAGAAAAAATTTCAGTGAAAATATTTTTTTCTGACTTAATGTTTAAGTAAACAAACCAAGACAATGTCCATTCTTCTGTTGTTGTTTTTGTTGTTTGTTTTTTATTCATACGATATTTGTTGACCGTGTTTTGAATAGTTACAATCTGCTCCTTTATCAGAACAACACATCTTGTACCGTTTAATTTTTTATTACTAATTCCCAATTAGGAACTAGATCTGCAAATTTTCAACTGGACAGAAGGCCAATGGAACAAAAACCAACTGTTGCACTGTTTTATGTTTATTTTATTTTACATGTTGTACTGTCCTTGTTTTAAATAAATTAAGGTGAATAAATAATTTGCTCACTCACAATGAAGCAAGTTTAATAATAATGAACCAGCTAGAATGATGCATAAATATTCAGCGATCACACGCACCGTAGATGAAGCATAATTACCTCGGCTGGTGCCCTAACTCCTAATTCAAATGAAGCATGAGACAAAGGATAGATTTAGCTCTGTTGTTAACTTTTATTGAACATGTGCACAAACTTGCAGTCTCTGACATTAGTTTCTGCTGCAGGTGACTATCATTAAAACATGACTGAGCTGACTGAGACATCGTTAGTTAACTATTAAACAATGTGCTTTTTTTAAAACGGACTTCAGCCCAAAACTTTTACATGTGCATGTGACCTTCTTTTTTCCTCATGTGAGCTGCTCGGTTGCAGTGGGAAAGTCCAAAATGAAAAGCGTTGTTTGTTTTTGCAACAGTTATGGGTAACGTGATCAGTACGGGGCTGGAGCTGATCTCCACAACGAGCAGCACCCGGCTGAATGAGCGTCTGGCCAGCGCTGTGAGGCGAACAGTGGAGCTTGCCAACAGCCAGAACGTCTCTCCTAGAGAGAAGCTCCACGTCAGAGCCATGGAGCTTTTCTCCCATGGGTAAGACCCACAGGAAGCCTGCTACAAAGTGCTGTTAAAATAAAATATTGAATAAGGATTGAAAAGGAGGATTAAACGGTTTATAAAAAGCAGTGTCTACATCAATAGTGTAATCCATAATCCCAAGTGGAGTTTTAGAAAGTTTTATGTACCCTTTATAGAGCATGTATCCATTTGGAAGAAGAAATATATTAAGGCATGGGATTTTGAAATTGGTGAACAAATGTTTTATTAAAGGATGATTGATTCAGATTCATTAAAAGATAATAAAACCATTCAAAACTAGAGAAATTGCATTTCCTGTGAAAATGCACTTTGAATGCTTATTGCTGAACAACAGCTAAAATTAGCTGAAAAACATGCTGAATTGTAGCTGAAATGGGAGAACTAGCCTTAATTAGCAGAAGAAAGCGGAAAGAGCACATTTTTGCTGAATTAGGTTTAAATAAGCAGAAATGAACATTGAATTATGAAATTAGCTTAAAAAAAGGCTGAAATTAGCAACAAAAAAATGGCTGAAAATTAACTGAAAAGGCAGAAAGAATCTTAAACTACCAGAAGGAAGTGGAAGGAGCTGAAATGAGCTAAAAATGTGGACTTAAATTAAAAGGCTAAAATTAGCATAAAACAGCTAAATAGTGTCTGAAATAACAGAAAAAGCTGAAACTAGCAGACATAAGCTGAAAGGAGCATAACAAGGGCAGCACGGTGGTACAACTGATAGAGCTGCTGCCTCTCAGCGAGCAGGTCCTTGGTTCAAATCCCGGTCCAGGGGCCTTTCTGGGTGGAGTTTGTATGTTCTCTCCATGCATGGGTACTCCGGTTTCCTCCCACAGAAACATGCATGTTAGACTGATTGGTAACTCTAAATTGTCTCTAGGTGTGAGTGAGAGAGTGAATGGTTGTTTGTCTCGTTTGTCTCTATGTGGCCCTGTGATGGACTGGAGACCTGTCCAGGGTGTACCCCGCCCCTCGCACAGTGACTGCTGGACATGGGCACCAGCGACCCCCGTGACCCAAAATGAAAGAACCGGGTAAAGATAATGGAAGATGGATGGAGCATAACGAGCTGAAACTACCATGAAGAAGTTACTTAGGTTGAAAGTAGCAAAAATCACCATGGAAAACTTGAATTTATCTGAAAACAACTGAAATTGGCTAAAAATGCTAACAAGCTAGCTGAAAAGGTAGAACAAGTTTAAACTATAATAATAATAATAATAATAATAATAATAAATAAACAGGAAAACGGTGTGAATGCTTCAAAGAAGCATTTACAATATTAGCTGAAGAAAGCAAAAAGAACACGTTTGCCCATTTAGGCTGAAAGAAGCAGAAATTAGCATAAAAAGGTAGAAATTACCCGATAAAAGCTGAAATTTGCAAAAAAAACAGCAGAAGAGTAGCTAAAAAACAAATGAGAAAGAAGCTTAAGTTACCTAAAGGAAGTGGAGAGCGAGTACATTTTTGATTAATTAGGTAGAAAAATGTTGAAATGAGTGCAAAAAATGTGAAATTGACTGAAAAGGCTAAAATTAGCATAAAACAGCTAAATAGTAGCTGAAATAGCATAAAAAATGGAAACTCTCAGAAATAAGCTGAAAGGAGCACAAATTAGCTGAAAATACAGCTGAAATTAGCTGGAAAAATGTTTGTTTGCACAAGGAAGCTGAAGTAAAACAAAAATGTGAAAGTAGCAGTAAAAGGTTGTAAACGGATCTAAAGATTTGAAAGATGTTAAATGAGCTCAGTTTATTTTCTATGAGAAATACATCAGAAAAGGCTAAATATTTCAAAAAGCTAAAGTTGCACCAATTTCAAAAGTCATGGCAGGATTGTACTGAAAGAGCTGAACGTTTTGATGTGTGATTTCTTGAAATAGCACAAAAATTGAAGAATGCGAAAGATGCCGACAAACGTACGGAAGAGAAACAGATCACAATAGTGTGAATGCTTCATAAACGTTCACACTATTATCAATTCAGTAATAATTCTTGCGTGATTTTTTTTATTCTATGAAATTTACTGTTTTGTTTTTCTTCTGTGACAAAGTGTTTAGCACACCGGCAGAATGCCAATGTGTTTCACGCTGAGGTCCATAAATAAAAGAAGAAAAGTCTAAACCACTTGCCAGGATTTTAAGGCAGTTCTGAGCGTTACACTCGGATAAAATATGTATGACAATTTCAAGCAAGCTTGTTTATTATAAATGCTGTGTGCTGTTTAATTTTTAACACTTTATAGCAAACGGTATTATTCTTCCTAAAAGAAACATTTCCACTAATTTAATTTTGCATGTCTCAACTGAGGTCTGTTGTGCAGTTGGAAATAGGCCTCATTAGAGAGGAGACGAGTTTCACTGTGCTACAGGAAATGGGTCGCTTGTGAGAAGTTAAAAAAAAAAAGGTAGTTCTTTTTAAGGAAATAGTTTATTATTCCTGTAGTTGCTCTTTGTCTGTCTGCATTAACATTAATCTGTGAGAATTCATGAGCTATTTTAATTTCCGCCACAGTCTGGCAAGCAAGATTTGGATTTATTTCTCCGGTGTCGTACTTCTCCGTGATAAAATTCAAAATCCTGCAGTATTAGGAAGTTTTGTTTATGCCCTTGTGTTGTTTCGGAGGATGCAGCTTCTCGTTCCCTCTCAAATCACACCGGCATCTGTGATTTGTTCTGAGTGCTCACCGTGTACCCCATTGTCTCCCAAAACGGTGTATATCATTAACAATGACTTGTATTTCTTGTAGAAAGTTTCCACAAGCCTGCGAAGCATGGGAAGATGTACTGCTTGATCATCCCACTGATATGTTGGCTCTCAAATTTGCCCACGATTCTTACTTCTACATGGGAGCCCAGGTGCCCATGAGGGACTCTGTGGCCAGAGTGCTTCCTCACTGGAAACCTCACATGCCTTTGTTCAGGTAAAAATGACCGAATGCATAGTTGACTGTCAGTTTCTGCTTTATTGTTTATCATTATTTTGCTATTATTATCATTATTTATTGTTTATCATTTTATGTCAAGCAGGTACAAACACATTGCATTTAACAGTTAGATTCTTATATAATATTACAAAAAGTTTCATAGTACTCTGCCAGTACTTTAATTTTGGTGTTCCGTCTTTTGTTTCTGGTTTGTAAATGAACAGACAAGGAATTATAAAGCTGTAATATATAAAACAAATCTGTTTTAATGGAGTATGACTAGTTTTTGGCCCTACATGAATTGCATAGTAGAATAGAAAGAGGTTTTTTTTTTAATCTTTGTAAAAAACAAACAAAGATGTATGTTTGTTTGTCCTCAGCTATCTGAAAGGACAATATTCCTTTGGTCTCCTTGAAACTCGCTTTTATGACCAGGCTTTAAAAGTGGCAATGGAGGTGAGATTCTTCTCTCAGTTGCTTTTTATTCATTTGTTTTTTGCTGCCGTTACTGTGGTTGTGTATTTCAGGTTGTTTGTGCTTGAGCTGATTGTGTCAGTCCACTTGTAGACTTCCAGACACATCTCCGCTGAACATAAAATCAACTTTTTGTAATAAAAATAAATGCATTTTATGGAAAGACAATATTAATAACACATTGCAAAAAAATTCACGCCACTGAGATGAACAGTTGAGAAATTTGCATGTGCAGTAACAGGAAGTGATGACAAAGGGAAATGCCTGCATGTAAATAGAGCATTGCTCTAACACGGAGCGTAGAGAATAATCTGATGTTGCTTTAGATTATTTCCATTCATTGTTGGAGAGAGATAAAGAATAGTCAGATTTCAAATAATAGTTTTAATACACAAAGACCATGGAGTTCCCATTTGATGTCACTTCCTGTTTTACCTTGACTGCACCAAGTTCTAAAGAAACTAGAGAAATTGCATTTCCTGCAAAAATACAGTGTGAATGCTTATTACCAAAAAAGTGCTGAAAAACAGCTGAAATTAGCTTAAAAAAACATGATGAAATTTAAGAACAAGCCTAAATTAGCAGAAATAACACATTAGCTGAATTAGGTAAGCAAAAATGAGCACAAACGTTAGGAAATTGGCAACAAAACAAAAGCTGAAATTAGCCAAATATAGCTGAAAAGTAGCTGAAAAGGCAGAAAGATGCCTAAACTACCAGAAGGAAGTGGAAAAGTTGAAATGAGCTAAAAAAAAATGTAGAATTGGCTGGAAAAAAAAGCTGAATTTGGCATAAAACAGCTAAATAGTAGCTCAAATAACTGAAACTAGCAGAAAGGAGCATTACAGTCTGAAATTAGCAGAAATAAGTTAATTTGGCTGAACATATTAGAAATTACCACGGAAAACTTAAATTTATCTGAAAACAGCTGAAAGTGGCTAGAAAATTCTGTAAAAATACTGAAAAGGAAGAACAAGCTAAAATTAGCAGAATAAAGCAGAAAGAACATGTTTGCTGAAAGACGCAGAAATGAGCACAAAAAAGTGGAAATTATCTGAATAAAGCTAAAATTAGCAACAATAATAAAAAAAACAGCTGAAAAGTAGCTAAAAAGCAGAAAGAAGCTTAAATTACCAGAAAGAAGTGGAGAGAGCACATTTTTGATGAATTGGGTTGAGAATGGTTGAAGTGAGTGCAAAAATTGTGGCATTAGCTGAAAGTTAAAATTAGTATGAAAACAGCTAAATAGTAGCTGAAATAGCTGAAACTTTCATAAATAAGCTGAAAGGAGCAGAAAGAAGTTGGAAGCACAAAAATGTTGTAGTTAGCAGAATTAATATGAAAGGAGCACAAAACAGGTGCCCCCCCCCCCCCCCCCGAGCTGAAATTAGATGAAAGTAGCTGAATTTAAAAAAAAAAATGCTCGCAGAAATA